CGCCGCAACAATCGGAAGCAAAACATTTGGTGTTTACGGCATTCGTTGTCAGAGCCATAATGAAGTAGCTATGCCAACTACTTTTGTGAGTGTGAATCTTCAGCCAACAGGCTCAGTGCTCAGCATGACGAAGCGGCTGCATAGATGCATCGCATGTAATTACCCCACCCCCCCCCCCACCCCAAAGCCAAGCCAAGCCAAGCCAAGCCATTTTAAATCAGAACTCCCTATCACCCAAGGCCCTCCTGGGAACCCTTGCCTATCAGAAAAACCTGTCTTGCAGAAACCCTTGTAACAGCAAAGCCTGTGTAGCAGAGACCCTTTGTAACACCAAAACCTATGCAGCAGAAACCCTTAAACAACAAATGTCAGTTCAGTACATAGTATGGTCTTGCATTCGTGCTTGTTGAACTAAACCCCTTTTGCATCCAGGACTCTGAACTAAACCCCTAAACCCTTAAACCGAAAATCCCAAGACATAGTATGGTCCTCCATTCGTGCTATTCCTTTCGTCAGAGAGCAGAATAAGCCCCTAAAGCCCGATAAACCCAAAATCTACGAAATTCACACAGGCGCCGGCGGCGTTCGCCCCCTACCCCCATTATTATTATGACTACTACTACTACTCCTCCTCCTCCTCCTCCTCCTGCTGCTGCTGCTGCTGCAACTACTGCTACTACTGAACTACTGCTTCTACTGCTAGTACTACTACTGCTACTACTACCACCGCTACTACTGCTGCTGCTACCACCACCACCACCACCACGACTATTACGACGACGACGACTACTACTGCCACTACTCTGCCGCTGCTAGCCACGGCCACGCAACATACTTGCTGTTTAACTCACATAACAACTATCACGTACTGCATTGTTACATTACTACATTATACATTCTGGAGCAATCAGTCCGGTAAACGACAACAGCAGGACGGCAACAACTCGGCCGCAACAACCAAACAGCCACCAGGGCGAAAGCAACAACAAGAAGAGGACGAAGAGGCGTTGCGGCGCGGCAGCACGACGGCACAGCGTTGTAGGACCACGGCGACGACCCCCGCAGCACCACCAGCAACAAAACCACACGTGCCAATCTGCGAGACGACGGCTAGTGCATTCAGACTGGTACAACTAGCTGAAGCTCTGGACAAGTCACCACACCCAAATCGCCAGACTCCGAAGCATCCGCGAGGGCCTTGAGGATAGACTGCTTCACATCCGCACCTTGATCGCTCTGCTCTTGCAGTGGTCCGAACTTCATTCCCAGCTTGGACCCAATCCCTTAGAATTCGTGCAGCATGAACATCCCCTTCCAGATTGCAGCTGGGGTGCTTTGGTCCAACTCTTCCAGCCGTTGCCTCTGTATTGCTGCGGCCGGGTCCTGTGAGAAACGACATCCACCGCTGAGAATCTGCGCATGACCATACGACCACACAAAGTTCGGTAGTCTCTGACTCTGGCATCTCCAGCTGAAGCAAGCGGACCAATCGAGCATTTGCAGTCCTCGGCATCTTGTGCCTGGGTGCCAAAGTCCTCCTGGCTTTGTCGAAGCTTTGCAGCAGAAGCCTGCGCCAAGCCGAACCGAACTGGTCTTGCATGTGCTGGTGCGTGGCTCATCGCCTTTTGCATGATGGTCCAGCCTGTTCTGGCACGGCCTCCCCAGCTACAAGGTGTTCTGCCTCTCGTTGTACCGAAGTGGGAGGTGCAGCTCGCGAGCTTTCTGCTTCCTCCTTCCGGGCTTCTGAGAAAGCTGGCGCTGCCGCCATCTGCCCAGCCCTGGCAAAAGAAGCGATCTCGCGAGGCACTAGAGAAAACTAAACACTTCTTCAAACTGGCGGGTGCTGCGGCAAAGCCGGTGGCTCCTCTTCAGGCGCCGGTGCCTCGAGCAGCGGCTGCCTCGGACGAGGACGAACCGGCTTCGGGTCGGAACAAGGGCTTCGGGCTCAGGGTAGTGGATCCCTTTAGAGCCACGTGCTTCCGGAGCTGCGAAAGCGGCGGTGTTGCTCGAATCTGTGCAGACGCAGGCCTGGGAAGCATCTGGCCCAAGGACTCGGTAACGAATGGCGCCGATTCAGAGCATGAGTCATGGAGGCTGAGGACCACGGCCGCATGGCACTTGTGGGGCGGCTTCGGTGCACTGCACTGGTCGGTCGGGAAAGGACCCTCGCACAGGCTTCGGACTTGCCTCAGAGCCCAGGCCAGAGCCGGCCACTTGCGAGAGCGGTGCGGTCACTTGCGGGCAAGCAGCTCTTGGCTGCTGTCAGCTGCTCGATCATGTATGCGAACCTCGGCCCAGGAACGGCTCGTATACGACTGCACCAAACACCCAAAACAACCTTTTCAACGACCCAGGCCGTACGCAAGCTGAAACTCCACTGAACCCCACTGCTTCAATCCATGTAGCGGATCCTGGGGCTTGTCCTGACCCGTTTGAGAGTCTCACACCAGCAGAGTGACATGGAGTAAGAGATGGAGAGTGATAAAGAGAGGCGGAGGAAGGGAGAAACGGAGAGCCGTAGACAGGTTGATAGATAGCTCGAGGATAAAGAGAGCAGCACATGAAAGCACTGAAAGGAAAAGGATTCCATCGGCATTGTCCTGGATGACAGCATGGAGCAGAGACTGGACGTACTTCAGCAATCCGTTCCTTGGCAAATGCTGGTGCTCAGTCCAAATACCCACAGAAGTCCTGACTGCCAGCTACCCTCTGCTGGACCTAGACCTAGAACGTCTGGGTGCTGCACTTGAAGTTGTCAGCATCACAAGTCTCAGCATGCACAACGTTCGATCAAGACGCTGTTCCAGGTAGTCCTTCGCAGAGGCCGCAGAGTCCTGGCTTCGCTCGACACTGTTTTTTTTCAGATAAGTTGGAAGGCATTGTTGCCTGGCAAAGGTAGGCTCGACGCACACCACACAAATCTTGCAACCATGTACCTCCAACGCCACCGCCTGTTGGGCATGATTGTTCTTAACCTTTTGAATGAAGTAAACCTTCATGACACTGTTGCGGCCATGCCATGGCGAAGGTTCGGATAGGAAGAGAGGCGAGGTTGGAAAGTGTTTCTCCACAACTCGGATCGATTGCGACTGCTGTCGCCACTGGGTGCTCCTATGCAAAGACATGAGGCATGAATATGCCTGGTATTTGCAACAGCTGACGTGGAAAACAACATCTTGCAGAACAAGATTCGCTCACAACAACCTCTTGTACGGCAACGTTGAGAAAGAAGGAGACTACTCCGTCCCAAATGACGTCCAGTAGTGCAAAAAAGTTTCACACTGTCTTCACGGTGGACACAACTACGCCGCATCTTGTGCACAAGACTGTTTTTTGTCAGGGGCACGTACTTGGACCACGCCAAGTCAAAAGGATTCGGCTCCAGGGTCCTTGGTCGGTATCGGCAGCTCCTTGGCGGGTCCTGCAAGGCTCCCGCATCAGTGGACGCTGCCAGGTTCACTGAGCGGTGTAGGGCGAAGCTACTCGTCGGCAGGAAGACTGCCAAAACAACGGGCATAAATTATCAACACAGCAGGAAGCCATAGCCGCAGAGTCACGCACAATGTGTTACTGACCTGAGCGCCACATAAAATCCTATTCAGGGCGAGTCCTGCTTCTGCTCCCCCAGCTGCTGCACGCACATGCAGGCCCATAGCGAGGTTATCGGCGTGTTCGAACCCAATTCCATAGTACTCCTTCCACCGCGAGTTTCTGACAGCAGCTGATGCCCATCATGGTCCAACACATGAGCAGCAAAGCCCCGGCTGCGAGCACAGGCTGACCGGAGCGAGGTCCTCGTGCGGGTGAAGCACCAGACGGGTGGAAGCAATCGGCTGGAGCACGTCAATTTTCAACGGTTCACCTCGTTAGACACTGAAACCGCTCATGCTGAGGCTGAGAGTTCTTCTCATCCGCCCTGCAGGTTTGCCAGCAGAATCAAGTGTGGCTTGGCTGAGAAGCGACAGAGGCTTTTGCTGGCCGAGGCACTGAGATCTTCCAGCTGAGCCGGGAACTTCAGGGGGTGAGACAATGCCTGCGGCAGAACAGCGGCATAGCTGCATAGCTGTCACTGGGGAAAGACATGGCCGATCGCTGGGACTTGCTTGAGTCATGGTGGGCGTCAATCAAAAAAGCTTTTTATGAAACACAGAACCAGGCGAGACACAGGGCGACGCGTGCACCAACAAACACAATTGTAGGTTGGTCATCACGGTAACATGATTCTGAGCGCCTGTTCTAAATTCAATGAATAGGCTGACGTTGAAAATGAATTTGAAATGGAGGGTTTGGCACTACGTACGCCTGCCGGAACAACTAGCATACAAAACAGTTGAGACGATCCGCAAGGAGTACAGAGTCCTGCCCCTGCTTGTCAGAAACATGGGAATGAAAAGCGCAAAAATCAGATGGAAGGTCAAAGAGAACCGCTGTTCCCTCACCCCCACAACGGCCCCAGATGCGATACGGTGGGCATTCACACGGGCACCGCTAGCAGGTCTTCCTTCACCATGGGAAGCAAATGAAGGGAGTCATGAACGAGGACAGCACACACACACACACACGCAGACACACACTTACACTTACTTACTTGACACAACGTGTCGTAAGCCTCACATCATAAATCGGTCTTGAGAGTCAGGTATATCACTCGAATTCAACGATAATCAGTGGGTGCCGAGAATCAGCCTTAGACCTGAGACCTCTCATGAAAGTAATATATCAGATTGCAGCAACCGCACATGTCAACTGTGCACAGTCTCAGCACACTGGATGTCCGGACCTATGCGACCACTTGGCGAAACGCTTCCGAAAATCGCAGATGCAAACACTCAGAAATCACATAAATCACTCATAGGCCAAGACAAAGCAACAGCGAGAATTAGAGGTATATTCGGCGGCCTTTCATCTCTAAGCAGGTACACCGGGCTGGCCGAGCTCTGTTTACCATAAGATCAGGTAGCTTCGTTGGACGTGGTCCCTGATCTCATGCCACGTCCCCCTGCTGACACAAACTCAAGCTGAAAAAAGCCCTTTGGAACAGGGATTGACACACAGACACACAGACACACACACACACACCCGCACACACACACACACACACAGAGACACGCGCGCGCACACACACACACACTCTCTCTCTCTCTCTCTCTCTCTCTCTCTCTCTACCAGGCTGGAGAGACTAGGTGCGTCCAGACCTAGCCCCTCGCGCGCACGCGCGCACGCGCACACCGTGGGTGTCTCACAAGGCTTGCCCCGGGAGATTGTCCCCAGGGGGCTTGGCTGTGCAGAGAAAGAAGACTTCCCC